AATTTGTTACTGATGAATTGTTACTGAGCATTTGTTACTGATGATTTGTTACGATGAATTTGTTACTGATGAATTTGTTACTGATGCATTTGTTACTGATGAATTTGTTACTGATGAATTTGTTACTGATGAATTTGTTACTGATGAATTTGTTATGATGACTTGTACTGATGAATTTGTTACTGATGAATTTGTTACTGATGACATTTGTTACTGATGAATTTGTTACTGATGAATTTGTTACTGATGAATTTGTTACTGATGAATTTGTTACTGATGAATTTGTTACTGATGAATTTGTTACTGATGAATTGTTACTGATGAATTTGTTACTGATGAATTTGTTACTGATGAATTTGTTACTGATGAATTTGTTTACTGATGAATTTGTTACTGATGAATTTGTTACTGATGAATTTGTTACTGATGAATTTGCTGATGAATTTGTTACTGATGAATTTGTTACTGATGAATTTGTTACTGATGAATTTGTTGCTGATGAATTTGTTACTGATGAATTTGTTACTGATGAATTTGTTACTGATGAATTTGTTACTGATGAATTTGTTACTGATGAATTTGTTACTGATGAATTTGTTACTGATGAATTTGTTACTGATGAATTTGTTACTGATGAATTTGTTACTGATGAATTTGTTACTGATGAATTTGTTACTGATGAATTTGTTACTGATGAATTTGTTACTGATGAATTTGTTACTGATGAATTTGTTACTGATGATTTGTTACTGATGAATTTGTTACTGATGAATTTGTTACTGATGAATTTGTTACTGATGAATTTGTTACTGATGAATTTGTTACTGATGAATTTGTTACTGATGAATTTGTTACTGATGAATTTGTTACTGATGAATTTGTTACTGATGAATTTGTTACTGATGAATTTGTTACTGATGAATTTGTTACTGATGAATTTGTTACTGATGAATTTGTTACTGATGAATTTGTTACTGATGAATTTGTTACTGATGAATTTGTTACTGATGAATTTGTTACTGATGAATTTGTTACTGATGAATTTGTTACTGAATTTGTTACTGATGAATTTGTTACTGATGAATTTGTTACTGATGAATTTGTTACTGATGAATTTGTTATGATTTGTTACTGATGAATTTGTTACTGATGAATTTGTTACTGATGAATTTGTTACTGATGAATTTGTTACTGATGAATTTGTTACTGATGAATTTGTTACTGATGAATTTGTTACTGATGAATTTGTTACTGATGAATTTGTTACTGATGAATTTGTTACTGATGAATTTGTTACTGATGAATTTGTTACTGATAATTTGTTACTGATGAATTTGTTACTGATGAATTTGTTACTGATGAATTTGTTACTGATGAATTGTTACTGATGAATTTGTTACTGATGAATTTGTTACTGATGAATTTGTTACTGATGAATTTGTTACTGATGAATTTGTTACTGATGAATTTGTTACTGATGAATTTGTTACTGATGAATTTGTTACTGATGAATTTGTTACTGATGAATTTGTTACTGATGAATTTGTTACTGATGACTTTGTTACTGATGAATTTGTTACTGATTAATTTGTTACTGATGAATTTGTTACTGATGAATTTGTTACTGATGAATTTGTTACTGATGAATTTGTTACTGATGAATTTGTTACTGATGAATTTGTTACTGATGAATTTGTTACTGATGAATTTGTTACTGATGAATTTGTTACTGATGAATTTGTTACTGATAATTTGTTACTGATTAATTTGTTACTGATGAATTTGTTACTGATGAATTTGTTACTGATGAATTTGTTACTGATGAATTTGTTACTGATGAATTTGTTACTGATGAATTTGTTACTGATGAATTTGTTACTGATTAATTTGTTACTGATTAATTTGTTACTGATGAATTTGTTACTGATGAATTTGTTATGATGAATTTGTTACTGATGAATTTGTACTGATGAATTTGTTACTGATGAATTTGTTACTGATGAATTTGTTACTGCTGATATGAATTTGTTACTGATGAATTTGTTACTGATGAATTTGTTACTGATGAATTTGTTACTGATGAATTTGTTACTGATGAATTTGTTACTGATGAATTGTTACTGATGAATTTGTTACTGATGAATTTGTTACTGATGAATTTGTTACTGATGAATTTGTTATGATGAATTTGTACTGAGAATTGTTACTGATGAATTTGTTACTGATGAATTTGTTACTGATGAATTGGTTACTGATGAATTTTGTTTACTGATGAACTTGTTACTGATGAATTTGTTACTGATATGAATTTGTTACTGGATGAATGTTACGATGCATGTCTGATGAATTTGTTACGTGAGAATTTGTTTACTGATGAATTTGGTACTGTATGAATTTTGTTACTGATGAATTTGTTTACTGATGAATTTTGTACTGATGAATTTGTTACTGATGAATTTTGTTACTGATGAATTTTGTTAACGGATGATTTGTTACTGATGAATGTGTTACTGATGAAGTTGTTACTGCATGAATTTGTTACTGATGAATTGGTTACTGATGAATTTGTTTACTGATGAATTTTGTTACTGATGACTTTGTTTACTGATGAATTTTGGTTACTGACGAATTGTTACTGATGAATTTGTTACGCTGATATTTGGTTACTGATGAATTTGTTACTGATGAATTTAGTTACTGATGAATTTGTACTGATGAATTTGTTACTGATGAATTTGTTACTGATGAATTTGTTTAGCTGAGAATTTGTTACTGATGAATGTGTACTGATGAATTTGTTACTGATGAATTTGTTACTGATGAATTTGTTACTGATAATTGTACTGATGAATTGTTACTGATGAATTTGTTACTGATGAATTTGTTACTGATGAATTTGTTACTGATGAATTTGTTACTGATGAATTTGTTACTGATGAATTTGTTACTGATGAATTTGTTACTGATGAATTTGTTACTGATGAATTTGTTGAGTTTTTTTAAAGGAGGGTCCAGCCAAGATTTCGCAATGGGGAGCCGCCAATGTTGCTGCTGTTTGTAATCCCAATTGAGCAATTTCCAGGTCATTTTGCAGCAATGGGATGTTTATTCAATACAGTACCAGTTACATCATAGCTTTTTTTTAGCTATGGGACATGGAAGCACCCAGAGAAAACCAAACTCCATATCAGTGCCTCAGCCGTTAGCGCATCGTATTAAGAACCCGGCAACCCAAGTTCAATTCCCGCTCATGGCCAACATCAGTGAAAAATATCTGAACTGGTTCTACGCCTCCACTAGGTCGACTCAGCGTTAAATGAGTACCCGGTGCGGTGCGTGAACATCAGAACTAGGGAGACAAAGGTGGCCGGGCAGGGTTCTGGCCACACCACCGCCTCTCGTGTGCCATCTCAGCTTACCCAGGCCTGTTGGAGCACTTGCTCCAACAGGAGCACTTGCTCCAACAGGCCTACATGGGGGGTCTTTGTTGTATTCCTTGTCTAATTCACACCTTCTGTATGAATTCCTATCTATACGCTAATAGCAGTTCTAACATGATCATTAGTTGGGAGTTGCAATCTCGCCCAGGTCCCCTTGCAAAAATAATGTATTTCTAGGCATTCAAAATAACTCAAAGGGTTCGCCTCCTTCACATATCCCCATCCCTCTGCATTAAAAAAAGTCAAACATTTTTCTACTCAACCCATTGGCCTTATGGGCGTGAATTTTAGCAGCATTGGTTCAATACCAAAAAAATCCCGGACCGGTTTCGAAACTCCATTCTCATAAGCCAGCCTTGCTTGAACATATCATGGCGAGCTGCCGGGTGTTCATAGGCCAGGACCGTCTCTGTTACTTTGTATAGGAACTTATACTTGAATATGGGCAGCACTTGTGATGCTTGTCATAATACCTCCATTAGGCATTGCAATCAACGAGTGGGTGACAGAGTGTCATGGTGGTAACACGTGTGCCTCACAGTACGAAGTTCCTGGGTTTGATTCCCAACTCGGGCGACTTTGTCTAATGAATAAAAAAAAAACTGTCCCTGTTTCGTTCTCCCTCTGTCCTGCGTGGAGTTTGCCGCAGGTTCCCTGGTTTCCACCCGTGGCTAGAAACCACACAAAGTGACCGGTATCGTCTAAACATCACAATGCTGAAAAATTACCTGAAAATAACTCAATTTGGGTGACACACTGCAGCAGCACCGACCCCTACTTCAAAATCCTAACATGACCCCCCTTGAATTTTTTTTTACTGGGTAGACAAGGGTTAACAAAATACAGTGATGTCTAAACCAGACAAATAAGTAACATAAAACCCACATATTCTTGGTCCTTTCGGTAAGGTCACGTAGAAGGGAAATAATAAAATAATAAAAATAAAACATTATAAAATTCTCACGATGTTTCGGCCACAACGCAAGCAGCCGTCCTCAGGTGAAGAACAAAGCTGTCGGAAAGACAGCGTCCTAATGACAGTGTCCTAATGACAGCTCTGTTCTTCACCTGAGGATGGCTGCTTGCGTTGTGGCCGAAACGTCGTGAGAATTTTATTGTTTTATTTTTATTATTTTATTATTTCCCTTCTACGTGACTTTACCGAAAGAACCAAGAATATGAATCCCTGCAGTCACGAAAGCTTTAAATCGAAAGTCATTCTCTCTCTTGGTATTCAGAGCGGTACCTTAAATCCAGGTACAACTGCGAAGTAACGTGTCAATGTCTACCGGACTAACCATTTGATCCCATCCACAGTGTGCACTGCAGAACACAACAACACACCCACTCACCCACCCACCAACTCACCAACTCACTCCACCCACACTGCAGGTCACCCCACTTCCATGTCTGCTTCCTGCCTCGGAATTCCCTCCCATCGTCTCCTTGCCGAGTGCTCATAATAAAATAATCATCGTAGCCCTGTTGCCGAACGCACGACACGACGGCTGCGGATATATAAAGAGACGCGTCACAAAGCACCCGCACCGTAGCCCATACCTGCTGGCTGGGCCTCAGCAGCTGTTTCTTCCTTGCGGGCTTCTTATCCGGCTCTTTGTCGACATCCAAGCAGCTGTCGCCCACCACCTTGTTCTCCTTGTGGTCACCCAGAGGGCCTTTCTCTCTCTTGTGTTTAGCTGCGGCAAGGAGGCCTTCTTCGTTGAGCTCACGCACCGTGTCAGAGTTCACGGTAACTTTGCTTAGAAACTGCGAGTCGACATCTTTGCTAAGCACTGCACTGAATTCCATCTCCTCCGTGTGCTGCCGCAGACCATTTCCAGCTGTGTCGAGGTCCAATTCACTTTTTAGTTCCGCCTTGCACAACTTCCTCCTGACCTAAGAGCTGTAGATTCCGATCGGCGCCCAGCTTGGCCAAGCCCGGCACGCCGCCGACGCCGGCGTGCTCCAGCAGGGCACCGCATCGCTCGCCTTGCCTCTTCTGCACCAATCGCTTTTCCCGCTTGGCAGCTCGTTCGTCGGGTCTCAGAGTGAAGTCGCTCTACAGAGAACACAACCAGAAGACAGCAGCACGCAGACGCCGTCAGCAGATCGCTCGCAGCCGGTGGCCGTGCTGCCCGCGGCCCGTCGCGCAGCGCCGCGGAAGCCGCCATGGTCGGTGGAACGTGCTCGCTTGCGAAACGCCCTCCCTACCCCGTGGGCGCCGAGGTTAGCATCTCCTGGCTTGCCAGAGTGTGGCAGTACAGCAAGTGGGTTAATTTCCAACTGTACAAGAATCGAGCGTGACCCCCCTCTCACGCACGGGATGGACGGCCGGTGACATCCAAAAGGACGTATGGGCTGCCAGTTATAAAACGAAATATATTCTACAAGGACTGGGATGGAGCTGAGATAGTAAGTATGCACATTGTTGGTTGTCAGACATCGTACAGATAGTCACCCTTGCTCAGGACAGCGATCATTTTAAGAATAAGGGTATTAAAGCAGTTATATTTATTTTGACACCTAATTATCTGCTATGATGAAATATAAGACACGTTTTGCCCAGAACTTGCCATGTTAAAATGTAAACCGTTCATAATGAGTCTGCGTTTACTTTTTTAACGTTGGTCTCAAAATGTTCCGACTCGACAACACCAGTTCACAAATAATTATCGCTTCATCTTGTTCAATTCATCATGTTGATACGTGGCCATTGCCGTCACAACACTCTGATAATGATCGATTACACCATTTACTTAATTACAAGCGCAATGGCTACAAAGCTGACACCACGAGCTCCACCACCAACCACGGTTGAACATTAGCGGCGAGTTACATCCCAACCATTCCAATGACCCCCTTCTCCACCCGTTCACCGCTGCACCGGCTTGGTTTACACCGCCTCCCGTGCCCTCACCCACTTCTTCCCTCTCTCATTCACCGTCACCACAACCCGAGAGGTAGACACTTTGGTGGTACCTTAAATCCAGGTACAATCGCTAAGTCACGTGTCGATGTCTATGGGACCGACCGTTTCGTCCCATCCACACTGTGTTCAACCTCCGCACTGCAGGTCACAACAACACACTCACTCACCCCTCTAGTCACCCACAAACCCATCCACCAAACTCACCCACTCACTCCATGCACACTGCAGGTGTTTCGTGACCGCGTCGTCGCGCGCGTGCTCAGCGACGCCCTTGCGCACGGGACGCACCATCATCGGGGGACTTTCCGGGTTAAACTTTTGAATGGAAAACAAAAATCTAATCTCACCACTTATTGCAGGCACAATGAGGTGCTTGTTATTGTGATAAGAATGTTTATTTATTCTTACACCTGTTTACCCAGGAAAGCCTCAGAGTCTCAAGACTCTTTTGAAAGAGGGTCCTGCCAATCTTTTTTTTTCCACAGTAGGAGGGCGATGTTGGTCCTATGTTGTGATCCCAATTTACGTAATTTGTAGGTCGATTTCTCAGGATTGGGTCAGTTGGCTAAGAGCAGTCACATTTTATGCTTTGCAGCTGTGGGAGGAAACCACAGAACATGCAGAAATTCCATGAAGATCAGTAGAATAATATACAAACGCCACACAGAAAGGCAACGGTGTTGGGGATTGAACCTAGCCTAGGTCCTTGTTGCTGTGAGGCACAAGTATCACCCGCCGTGCCACCATGCCACCCAACAGATCAATCTAAACTCACTCCATTCCTGCCGGCACCACCCCTCTGCACCCCATCTCTGGATGCCGTGCTCCCCGCGTCTGTTGGGGCTGCGGATCTGCAGCAAGAGGCCCCTTCTGTGCTGCTCGCACAGCATCTCCGCAGGGGCTCCTAAATTGAGCATCCACTCGGCTGCCCCTCTCCTCCCCAAGAGGCGGCACTCCTCGCTGCTCTGCCGCTCTGCACACCATTTCCAGTCACCATCGTGGCAATGGTGCTGGGGTGTTCAGCTGTTCTGGGCATTGTGCCAAACAGTTTATAGTTTAACCTCCAAAATGGGCAAACCACGCACATAGAGGACGTAATGACAATTTAACGCATCGTGTAAATGAATGGGGCTCCCCTGGCAAATATTTAACTGGAATGTACAGCATTTGTGACACTATCCTAAAAGAAATCTCATAAAATAAACACCGTAATTTAAGATTTATAATAGTTTACCTAAAAAATGTCACGAAATAGTACTCTTACATACAAAACATACACCATTAATGACACCGTGGGCTTGGCCAGGACACGCCACGGCCAGACGGTACGATAGACGGTGGTCAAGAACAACGACCGAATGGCAGCCAAGGAATGGAACACGTCCTCGGGGATGCAGTGATGGGACCAGTTCGTGTGCGGGTGGCGGGTGCATTGTTGCATGGCAAGATCGTGAGAAGTGGTAGTGGCCTAGGGAGGAGGCCTTCATCCAGCAGTGGATCGACCATGGTTCGTGATGATGATGACGGTGACCAAAATGTGAAAGAGGCAAAATCAGGCGTCAGAGGCTTCATCAACTGCTGGCTGAGTCAATAATTTAGTCAAAGTGATGTCCTGCACACTTGAGCATTGACGCAGTGCCCATCTCCTGTTTATAGCTCGAAACAAGTGGTGGGAATTCCACATTCCTATGGCAGGTATCAAGCCTCCCACCATTGACCTCCCCACAAAGCGGCACTCACTTTATTGCATCACAGGGATGATGAGCAAGAAAACCTCACCCAGGATTTGAGCTCGCAACCTTCCGATGCCGAGCCGTTTGCCCTACCGCTGAGCGACCCGGCTAGACTACCTATTAGAGCAATTGTAATGCATATCTGACAACACAAAGACAAGCGGTAGCTTACTGGCACCGATATAACGTGCGTAAAAAAAGACAAAAGCACGCACACACACACACACTCTGCACTCTTCATAAAACCAAATGCAGTAGCAAAATAAATGGCACACGCACACTGTTGGGGCAAGTGCTGTTAGCGAGCACCTATGAAAGGCTGGAACGGCACACGAGGGGGTGGGTGGTCAACACCACACCTGACAGCCTTTGTCTCCCCAGTAGCGATGTTTACACACCGCACCAGGTACTCATTTGAGGCTGAGTCGACCTAGGAGAAGCCCAGGACTGGTTCAGATAATCGTCACTGGTGTTGGCTGTGAGCAAGAATCAAACTCGGGATGCCAGGTTCGTAGTGCAGTGCGCCAACCGCTACACTACCGCTCCCCACAATGCATATCTGAGTAGACACACAGTTAAAATGCGCACTTAATGTTTCCAATCGCCAACAAGGTTACAGGTAACTACGCTTCATAAATGTAACCACCAGTAATTGCCCTGGAGCTATGACCAATGAGTTGTTAGAACTTTCTTCTGATTAGGGTAGTCAACTCCCAATGAGGTTCGCAGATGATCATGGGCTGCTTGCGCATACAGGACTCCCTAAACGTCTTATCATCCCTCCTGGGTCAATGAAACGAGTCCCAATAAGTGAAGGAAATCACGTCCTCTTGAGTAAGTGGAGTAATCCAACGGTCCTCCAACTGTCTCAATACATTCCAACACATCAGGAATGGGTTATTTCATCATGAAAGAAGCTGGCTTACACGACACTTCAGAGGCAATGTATAAGTAGACAGCAGCTCAACCATATTTGCTTTAATGGAAAACCTTCACAGACTCTTGTGGTGTCAAAACGAATAAGTGATAAGGCTAATGACACGATGTTTCTATATCAACGAGACTATTAATACCTTACACTGCATGAGCATTGCAACGTCACTCTTCATCTCCAGGCTCCTTCAAAGTTGTCAAATGTAGAGTGACATTTATAAACATTTGCAAACAGCGAAACGCAAACACCACAATCTGCGGTCGCTTTCAACACCAATTGAAACTAAAGGACCGTTTTTATTTGTAGAAATATTGTACCTATAAAGAATCAAAAGCACAGCGAATTAACTTAGCTGCGGCATTAAGAAGGCATTAAAATTATCCTCCGGTGGGCTTATTATCTCGTGCAATCATATTCCCTTTGCTATGGCCGATCACACTGCCGGCAGAGCGGAACTCTCCTCGAGCCGCAGAGCGGCGGGGATTGTGTCTGACAGCCAAACAAACCCTCATTCATGAGACTAATCCCCATAATCCCCCCCCACTCCCAGCAAGGCACTGCCTCTGTGCACCGCACTGCAAGCTGCCACACGTGTGGGTGCTCTGCAAACGCCGGGTGACGAGGTTCGCGCCGGGTGCCAGTGGCCGTGCTGCACGTGGCCTGCGAACCAGCGGAGGGTCGGTGGATCGCACTCGCTCGTGAAACTCTCTTGCCTACCTACCCCCCCCCCCCGTGGGTTGTCCAGGTTGCCGTCTCCTGGCTTGACTCAGGTACGGCAGTACAGCGAGAGGGCCTAGTGCACAATCCGTACGGATATTGAGTGCTGTTGCCGCCCCTTGCACGCGTGGGTTTTCTCCGTGGCAATCCGGTTTCCATCCACGTGCATGGACGCTCGTGAGTGGAGCTGTTGGCTAAACATCCCAAACAAGGGCCGCAGAGCTTGGGAAATTCTTGGCGCCAGCTCTGGTTGCTTTCCTGCTTTCTCTGCGGTTTTCCCTTCACTTCTGTAGAGGAACATGAGCAAGTGTCTGCCAGAGATGAGGAAGTTTGCTACAAACATTAGGGGCTTGTAATGCCTCCGTCAAATATCTTCCCCTCGACATGAAAAATAAAAATATATTTTACAGCCTTCTGGGAGTACTGCAATACAGCATCTGGGCTGGTTTCAACATTCAATTTCCCATCAGCAAAGTCAGCCTCGTTTTGAACCAATGCTGGTGAACTGCCAGACATTAATAAGCAGGGGCATATGTGACAAGCTTTGTGTTTATGGTGAAGATATACAGAGGCTTGGATAAATCCGAGGAAATATACTTTGCAGAGGGTCTTTTAAAAAAAAACTGGTTTTGGAAGAAATCTATACACCGAGACGCATCTTATTACAACGACACGACGTTGAGAGTGCAACAACGACATAGCCGGCCAAGTGGCTCAGCGTTAGAGCAAGTGGCTCGCAATCGAAA